ATTTGCCTTAGGTGTTTGAAAGTTGTTGACCTTCTCGCCTTTCCGGCTTTCCGACGCTCCAAGACGGCCCAAGAGGCCTCCCAGATCGCCACAAGATGGCGCCAGAGGCCCCCAAGACGGGCCCAAAACGGCTTAAGAGGGCCCCAAGACTGCCCAAGAGGGCCCAAGACGGCCCAAGAGGGAGAGCCCAAAGACAGCCCCACGAGGGGGCCCAGATGGGGCACCCGGACGGACATTTCGAGCTCTCGACCCCGACGGCCCCCCAGGAAGCCCACAGGAGGCCCCCAAGAGGCCCCCCAGAGGTCCCTTAGAGGCCCCAACTGGATCCAAAGAGGCCCCAAGAGGCTCCCAAGAGGCCCCCGAGAGGCCCCCACGAGGCCCCAAAATTTCTCCCAAGAGGCCCCCAAGAGCGCCCCGAAGACACCTGAATAAGCATCCCTGAGAATTCTGCCCAACAACCCAGGCACACTGGCGGGATGTGCAAAAAACCATGACATACTCCGATGAACCACTGCACTACCGATCCGGGCAAACGCAACATCGATCGAAAACGGGCATTTCGACGTTCTTCATCAGGATGTACTTCCTTCCTTGAAACTCACCCACCTCCTCCCGCCGTACACCTTCTCCCCGCTTCGTCCTCCTCCCATTTTCTCCTCCTCCTGCTCGCTCCTCCCCCCATCCTGGCTCCTCCCCCTCCTGATCCCGGCGTCGTCGCCGTGTTCCTCTTCATCCACGAACCTTCCTCGTCCTCGTCCTCCACCTCCTCCTCCTCCTCCTCCTCCTCCTCCTCCTCCTCCTCCTCCTCCTCCATCCCTTTTCCTCGTGGGTAACTGCCCCCTGTGGCACCACCAGACGTATCCGTAGGGCAGCCCGTGCACTTCGCCAGAAAACTCCTCACCGCTTACCATGGACCACAACTACCCGCATGGAGAGCGGGTCGTTTTCAAGGTGGGGCTCTCGCCCTGGTGCCGCGCACACGCGCCTCACACAAATCAACCGTGGCACGGATGGAGACCCGCTCCTTCCAAAGATCGGGTGATCACTTGAGATTTCCTCTCACCATATGCCCACCGACCCTGTCAGCGTATGTGAAACGCTCTTCCGTTTGGGTCGTCGTCGTCGTCGCGGTCGCCACATACCCCTTTCCCTGGGCCCTCCTCCTCAAGCGATCCAGCCCAGTGGGAATCAAACAACGTCGTAATTGATTCGAAGGGCAGCCCCTTCCCTTTGATCCCGACCCCTTCCCTGCTGGGGTGGGGGGGGGGGGCAGCGGGGAAGGTTCCCGAAGGGGGGGGCGCCGGGGGTCGGGGGTCCCATGCGTAGAGAAGGGGGCGGGGGGGTGGTCTCCGTGTGGACAGGGAAGCTGAGGACCACTCCCCCCGCGTCCCCCCGGTGAACCAGGGGGAAACCACCACCACCCTTCTCTCCTGACCCCCCCCCCTGCGGAGGCACCCTCCTCATTCTTATCTCCTGCTGCTGCGGGGTGATGCGCACTTCCCCTTCGAGGGCGCCCCAAGTGACCGCGGAGCCTCCCAAAAAGTCCCCAAAGAGGGCCCCCCAGAAGAGCCGCTCCAGCGCGTCAGCGTCGTCGTCGTCGTCTTCCCCCTTCAGGGTCGGCGGCACCAGACGTAAGGCCTTCCCAATAATACACGGATGGGTCGGGAGGGCGGCCCAGTTTCAAAACTGGACTCTTGCGTTGAGCCCTCGTGCGGGCATGTGATCAGAAGTCTGAAAGACTTGCGCAGACTTGGAGCGGACGGAGGGCAGTCATTCTGCGACGCGGGGCTGCCGTCGGGGACCTCCTTTATTCGTAGGATCCCGCTATGTCGCAGCTGCTATGGCCCGGAGAAATGGAGGACGGCTCCTGTCAACCGGGAGCTCCTGGAGGAGTTGCGGGCCCATGGGGGGCGTTCGGGGGCGTTCGTCTTGCAAGGCGGGCGCCTCGCGCAAGAAAGAAGAAGGACCGAAGGGACTGACGGAGCAACCTTCGTAATGTCAAATTCGTCGATTCATATAGGGGCTTCTGTGGTCAGTACTCCTACTCAACCCTTCTCATCATCCTCCACCTGTTTCATCCTCCTCCTTGTCCTGCCCCTCCTCCAGGTCTCCTCCTCTTTCTCCTCTTCCTCCTCATCCACCACCTCCTCCTCATATCGTCCTGCTCCGCCCCTTCGCGTCGCCCGCATATCCCCCTGTGTTACCATCATCCTCCTCATCCTCATCGTATCATTCCTTGTCCTCCTACAATATCTCCGTTTCAGCCTCCTGCTTCCAACCCGCGTTCTCCTTCTGGTATCGTCCCTCCTATCCTTCCTCCTCCTCCTCCTTCTCCTCCTCCCTCCTCCCATCTCTCCCACCTTCTCCTCAATCATCCCTCGTTCTCCCTTCTTCTTCTACTCCTTCTCCTGTTCCTCATCCGTCATCCTTCTCCTCGCATGGATTTCAACCATGCTCATCCTCCCTCATGGCATCGTCGTCGCCCTCCTCTTCATCCTTTTCTTCGCGCCGACCTCCTCCTCTTCCTCCACACCCTCCTCCTCATGATCATCCTTCCTCGCCACCTCGTTACTCCTTTTCCTCCCCCTCCTCCCCCGCCTCCTCCATGCTTTTCTGTCAAGAAATGATACCGGAGAAAAAAAACAATCATCATATTTTTAGAGCTGTAGGGCTATGGGGCTATACGGTTATAAGACCATAGGGCTAGGGCTATGGGACATAGGGCTATAGGCAGATAAGGCTATAGGGCTACAAGGCAATAAGGCTATAGGGCTATAGGCCTATACGGGCTATACGGTTATAGGGCTATAGGGCTATTAGGGCTATAGCCCTATAATTAGGGCTATAGGGCTATAGGGCTATAGGGCTATAGGGCTTAGGTATATAGGGATGTAGAGCTATAGAGCTAGAGGGCTATAAGGCGATAGAACACCCGGGCACCCCGGGGCACCCGGGCACCCTGGGGCACCTCCGGGCACCCCTGAGCACCTCCGGGCCCCCCCGGGCACCCGGGCACCCGGGCAGCCCCCGGCACCCGGGCACCCCCAGGCACCCCCGGGCACCCCCGGGCACCCGGCCGCCGGCCACCAAATCGGCGCCGCACCTCACCTAATCATATGAATCCGCTAGGACCCCTACAGAGGCAAGCTCTGATTTGGGAATAACTCATCCCTGTCACTCCTCCAGACATCTCGGTAGGGCGGGCAGGGCGTTTCGACTGCAATGCCCCCACAAATGGAGGGCGGCGGGTCGGTCCCAACATGTGGCTCTCGCCTTAACGCCGTGCACGTTCGTCTCCAAAGTTTGCAAGGATAGAGGGCGGGGCGTTTTCAAAATGTTGCTCTCGCCTTCGCACCGCGCACATTCGTCTCAGTTGCAACTGTATCAAGAATGGAGCGGATTTCCGTTTCATAACATGACTCTCGCACTTGCGCCGCGCACATTGGTCTCTAAAGTTTGCGACAGCTTCGAGGATTCGTATGGTTAAAATCCCAGGAGAGGTGTTACGGTACGAGTTTTGATTACTACGGCGCAAAACTCCCGCCGATTCGCGATGCTGAAGTCCAAGGGAGAGCACGACGTAGGATTTGCCGGACGCAACACTCACGTTGGTCCGCGGCGACGAAGCGCCTTGGCGCGATTGAGCATTCTCAGATGATTGTCGTATGATGGGCCACTGTCGCAATGAATATAAATTCGTGTGGGGACCTATGAAGAGGGGACTTGAAGAGAGGGTTATTACAACATCGCTGTTGCGTCTTGGGCTTGCACTGGTCCTCCTCCTCCTCCACCTCCACCTCGTCCTCCTCATCCTCCTCGTCCTCCTCCTCCTCCCTCTCCGCCTCGTCCTGCTCCTCCTCACCTCGTGCTGCCCAGAGAGGGGGAGAAAGACGATTGTCATGAAGGAAACAAGCCCTGGAGGAGACGGGTCCTAGACCCTGGGGCCGTCCTCCGGGACCAAGCTTTCATCCCGAACCGTTTCCTGACAGCGCCGGGAGGCCGAGCACGGCGAACAACCTCCGAACCCCGTTCCATCAGAACCAGTCTCCTCCCTGGCGACGAGGACGATTGGGAGTTCATTATATGGGAGGCCGATGACGTGCACCTCTCGTGCCCCTTTGGGGCCCCCTTCAGGGCCCCTTTGGGCCCCAGAAGGTGCACCTTTCTTCACCTCCTCCATGCATCGCGCCCCCACCCACTCGACGCCCGCAGAGGATCGGGGGAGACGAAAGGGTAGGATATCAAAGTCCCAGCCCAGAACACATCCCTATCCCTGTGTGGGGCATCGCCTCATCACGATGGCGATCTTAGGGACTCCCTCAGTTTCTGAGGGTGCATACCTGAGATTGCCACCGCCTTTTGGCGCGTCAATCGTAAGGATAGGAATAAGTCCGAGGCTGGTGAGCAAAGAGTAGGGTTAGGTTGGGCCTGTCCACCACCTGGGAGATTTTGAACGAAAAATAAAAAATCATACCCAACAAATACTCCAAACATTGTCAAACAATATGAAGAAATCGTCCCCTAGAGGGACAGGCCCGACTTAAGAGTAAGGTTGCGAATCGCCTCACGTGGCCTTGTTCCCCTGGCGCCACCTGGCGCCGGGAGCCGCGACACCACCTGCACGCAAGGGATTTCGTACAGCCCCTGCTGGGCCTGTTCTCCACCACCACCACCACCACCACCACCATAGGCTGCATGGGGGGAAGGAGGAGGAGGAGGACGAGGCGGAGGAGGGGGACGAAAAGGAGGAGAAGGAGGAGGCAGAGGAGGAGGAGGAGGAGGAGGAGGAGGAGGAGAAAGAGGAGGAGGAGAAAGAGGAGGAGGAGGAGGAGGAGGGGGAGGAGGAGGGAGAGATGGAGATGGAGAAGGAGGAGGAGGAGGAGGAGGAGGAGGAGGAGGAGGATCCCCTCCCCCTCCAACTTATGGTGGTGGTGGTGGAAAACGGGCCCATCGCCCCCCACCCCCCTGCCCTGTCGTCCGGCCGGAGAGGAGGCCGGCGCCTGGCCCACGAGCGGGCGGGAGACCAAAACCAATACCTCGGGCGGCCCCGTCCACGGAGAGGGCGGCCTGCAGAGGGCGGCGCCACGCCCGCCTGGGCGGCGCCGGGCGGTCCCTCCCCGCGAGCGACGAGCACGAGGCCGACAAGAAGAAGTGGGTCTTCCTGTAAGACGAGGCCAAGACGAGGATCAAATCAGGTGAGGACCAGCCGGGAATTTCTGGGATCTGGCGGCTCTGGAGGATGTCTCGCGCCCCGAAAAGTTCCAACGCGCTCCTGGAAGCGTTGCGGAGCGCGCTGGAACGGATTTACCTCGTCCTAGCCCCGTCCGATCCTGAGAATTCCCAAGAGCAAGTTGGGAACCGCGCTGGGTCCTGTCCCATGGGGCTCCGCAGAAACGCCACACGACATCATGTGGTGTACGATGTTCTGGCCAGTCCTCTGGGCCGCAGGTGTCGAAAACAAACTACACGCGGTGTTTGGACCGCCATTTGCCATTTGTTTTCCCCTGGCCACTTCCGCGATCGGCGGCGAGCGAGGGGGGGAAATGGAAAGGAAAAGGCCCTCCCAAAGGCGGCGGGGTTCTCAGAAACCCTCCAGTCATCTGACAAGTCTTCTGCGTGTTCGGGGAGCGCTCGAGAAACTTCTCGGAGACTGGGGGACTTTCGAGCCTTCTGAGAGGGCCCCTCTAACTGCCCCCTCTCACTGCCCCACTGAGAGGGTCTGGCCGCCGACGAAAGCAAGGGAGGAGATCAGGCCGCAGCCCGTGTGGAGAGATCGACGAAGCGACCGCACCAACCAACAGGCCAACGACCCTCCAAGCGGGACTTGCAACGGGACTCGCAGTGGGTCTTCCAGCCTGGCCGCCGACATTCAGGAACGGTAGATAAGGAACGAGCCCCCTTTGTGTGGCCCCAAGGGGCACCTGCGCAGACGAGGAACGCTCGAGAAGCCAAAGCGGTCCTTGTTCCAGCGACTTGGCTGCACGCGAGAGGGTGTGGCGACCCAGCGCCCTTTTTACGCGGTGCCTTACGCAAGCCGCCAGCGTAGCACTCCGCGTGGAAGGGAGGGCGCCGACGAGCGGCCCTGCGTGGGCAGCGTACGCGCCAGAGTGTCGGCGGCGGCGACAAGGGCGGCCAGCCCACGGGCGGGCGTTCTACTCGCACTCGCCAAGGGAGCCTCGCCGAAGTCGTGGATCATCGGCGCCCCTGGACGCGTGTGTTGCTCCCCCTCTCGCCTGTTCGGCCCGATCGTCGCCTCCGAGCGTCCGGTGAAGACGGTCCAGCTCTTCTCTCCGTCGTCCACGCGTGCCGGCGACCGCGCACGGAGGGGAGCGGCGCAACGTGGGCGGGGTGCTGCCCTGACACCTGGGCGTTGCAATGCATCTTGCCGCCGGGCGCGTTCGCCAAGCCTCGGGGCCCTGGGGCCTCCCAGGTCGATCCCGCTCGACAAGTTCTGCGGGAGGACGGGGATCGGGGCTCCCGTTGTGATGTGGAAGGTCGCGGATCTCTGCTGGCATCGCACTCTCGCCGATAGGACTGCGCAGCTCAACTGGCCATGGGCCCTGAAAAAGCACTAGGGCCACGATACGCGATGGTCGAGCGGGTAAGAGCAGCACGAACATGAGAAGGGAGGGAAACGGAAGTTTGGCATAGTTGTGGCCGATGACGTTATCGAGTCGAACGGAGTCACATGGGCAGCCGGGGCGACGAACACTTCATTCGGTCGCATCTTCATGAGGCCGGATAGGTCGAGCAACGGTTCGCACGGCTTGAGAAATGCAGGCATCCCCTGCTGGGTATTACAGCTCTGAGTGCCATGGGCATTTTGATCAAAAAAGGAAAGGCGAACTTGAAAGGTGATCTTCATCACCTCTGAGCGGTAGCGGATCTAGCAATTTGTCAAGAAAAGCGCTGCAGCAATGTGGACTTACGTAGTCTGTGCCGAGATGGGCGAGGAAACACAATTCTAGCTTGCAGTGCGGACTTACGTGGTCAGTGCGAAAGCTGGCGCTACGCGGGAAACGGCAGATCTGACTGGCGATGCGAACTTACGGTTGTCAGGCTGAGTTAGCTGCTCTCACCTACGCATTCTTGAGCGTAGTGCCGGGAGATGGCTTGTCCGCTCCCGCGTTCGGCAGACCCGCGATAAGTCCCCAGCCCCCGGGAGTCGGCCAGTTCATGCTGGATGGTATTGTGCACGTGGCTGAAATCGGCTCTGCCATGTCGTTTCAGCCAGGCGCAATGCTTCCGACACGTGCGACACGTGACGTAGGCGCTGTGCAAGTTTGGGGCTGTGGCTGCCTTGGGGCAGTACGGCCGTCTTGAGGCCATCTTGAGGTTCTTTTGGGCCGTCTTGAGCGTGCCGAAACCGAAAAGGAGACCATGTGACACTGGACAAAACAAATGACCTGCGTGGAAGCCTGAACACGATTTCACATGCTGCTACATCTTCGAGGCCTGCTGGGGGTCCTCTCGGAGTCGAGGATAGGGGCAAATAGCAGAGAGGGTAGCAAAACATGTATCTAGGGGCGCCGACACCGACGGTCCATCTTTTCGGCATGTCTCCCGGAGGGATACGCGTACTGCTCCCCCCTGCGCTATTCGCACCCATCGTCACCTCCAACTCTCTAAGGGCCGTTTGGGGGCATTCCTCCCGCACCGACCCGCCGCCCCCCTGGGCAGCCTTAGGCCTCGTCCCCGCGCTTGCGGTCGTCGGCGTTCGGCCTCGCGCCAGACCGGCCGTCCTTGGCCTGCCACCTGCGAGGAGCGCGCCACCAACGACGATGACGACGACGGCGACAACGACGACGACGACGGCGACGGCGACGGAGACGGCGACGGCGACAGCGACGGCGACGACGATGGCGACGGAGGCGGCGACGGCGACAGCTGCGGCGACGGCGACGGCGACGGCGACGGTGACCGCGACGACGATGGTGGCGACGGCGAACACAACGACGACGAAGTCGACGACATTGGCGTTCCCGAGGCTTTTGCGAGTCTTCGGAGTTCAGCCAGACGCGGCTCGAAAAATTCGACAGGAAGGAGCTCGAAGAAGAAATCCGCCTACCCTGTCGGCGTGTGTGAAGGGAGTTGGAGGCTCCTCCTCCCAGGGCGATCCTGGGCCCTGGGGGACTCCTTTCATTCGAAGCATTTCCTCCCTTCCCAGTGGCCACCTTTGGCTCTCCAAGCGCGCCGGTCCGAGGTGAATCGAACCAGGTCATGATCGAGGTCGTCATGGACTCGAAGGGGAGCCTCTTCCCTTTGATCACTTCCCCGCCCCGGGGTGACGTCCTGGGAGGGGTGTGGGATCATGGGGGGTCCCGACGGGAATCCCGGGTCAGAACACGGTTCCTCCCCCCTTCTATTTCGGGTCGTATTCCGGCAAGTTTGATCCTTCGTGTGTAACCAGAAGTCCGAGAAGGTCCATGAGGGGGCTGAAACAATCCCAAGGCGCTCCATCACGATCCCAGATGCCTCAAGACGGCCGAAGACATCCCAAGACTGCCCGGCAGGACTCCCAGAGGATCCCCAAGAGAGCCCCCAAATGCAAGAAATGACGGTTGTTGATAAGTTGTCGCCTTCTCGTTTTTACTAGCTCCCGACCACCCCAAACGGTCCAATAAGAAGCCCCCAAGTAATAGCCCAAGAGGGCCCAGACAACAGCCCAAGAAGGCGCCAGGACAGCCCACAAAGTCCCCAAAGAGGGCCCAAGAGGCTCCCAAGAGGAAAGATAACCTCCGAGACCGCTTGCATGCCCCCGAAAGATCCCAAATAACTCCTCTGAGGACTCCAAAGCGCCCCCAAGAGGCCCCAAGCGACCTCAGAAATTCATCTAACAGGTGTCCCAAGAGATCCCCCTAAGAGCCTCTATGGGTCCGCGACGTTCCTGGGATCCCATTTCAGGGTTGGCAGAACCGACCGAAAAGTCTCTCCAACTACTATTTGACATACGCTTGCAAAGCTCAGAGTGGACCTCCGAAAATTTGTTGACATCGCGGTGCCAACAAAAATCCGCACCCCTAGCTGCACGGAGCGTGCAGATTAGAATGGTCGAGTGTTGTCTGGAGAGCTGTTTACTGTTTTCTACGCATCCCCCCCTACCCGCATGCACCCCTCAAAGACCGCCCCCCGCCTGCATTTGCTTTCTGGCGCTCTTTTCCGCCTCCCGATGGGGAAGAGAAATCTCGAGATGGCTTCCAAGACAACCAAGATGTCACCCAGACGGCCCAAGATGGCCTCAGGTAGCCCAAGACGGCATAAGATGCTCCCCAAAGGGCCGCAAGACGGCTCGAGAGGCTTCCAAGATGGCCCAAGAGGACTCCAAGAGGCCATCCAGGAGAGCCCGAGGAGGCAAAACGCAATCAGATCCGTTTGTGTTTGAAGGCGTTGGAGGTTCTAACCCGTTTGGGTCTCCGACCGCCTGCAAGCTAGCTCCAAGACGACCCTTGAGGCCCCGAAAGAGGACCCCAACTCGGCCCGAGAGAACCCCAGGATCGCCCAAGAGACTCCCAACAGGGCCCCAAGACAGCCCGAAAGAGCTCCAGGAGGGCACCACGACGGCCACGAAAGGCCCCCATGACGGCGTCCGAAGACCCCTAAGAGACCCCTAAGAGACCCCCAAGAGACCCCCAAGAGGCCCCCAAGATGCACCCAGGAGGCACCCAGGAGGCACCCAGGAGGCTCCTCATCCATCTTCCTCCTCCTCCTCCTCCTCCTCATCCTTCTCCTCCTCATCATCATCATCATCCTTACCTCGAAGACGAAGATCAGCCGCCTCAGTCCAGACCGCTCGATGAACTGCAGCGGGGCGTGAACGAAGTCGAGGTCGAATTCACGACTCGTCCGAGTTCAGACCAGTCGTCGGAATTGATGGTTTTTCCACTGAGTCTCATTCCTGCTGCGCTGTTGCACAAGCAGGGTGGCGGGGATTGCCGCAGGCAGCTGGATACCATGCAAGGGGCTGTTCTTGCAAGTGGTAGCCTCGGCCACTGTAGGCCCTAAGACCTAGATCTAATGAAAGAACGACCCGAAAACCAGAGCCCCTCTGAACCCACAGGAGTCTCTATTTCAACATCTTGACTGCATGTTTCCTCAACCAGCGTGTCTGAAATAGTCCCAGCTACCTACTTGTGTGTATATACAAATAGATGAATGTAAATACACACTTACACATATATTGATTCTTATGCCGTGTGTGAACGAATCTGGATGTGGAATCAGAAGTTCTTGGCCCGTGGTCTCCCGCATGATCTCCCGCATAGTCTCATAGGGGTCCGAGTTGTTAGATGGGTCCGAAGGATCGCGATGCATCGTGATGCATCGGCTATGCATCGGCGACGTCGGCGATGCATCGGCGACGTCGGCGTGGAGAACATCGGGCTCCACATCGAGCCGCATCGCCGATGCATCGGCGAAGCGGAGCGATCCTGCGACCTTTCTGCTCGGACCCCTTGTGGAGGCCAGGGGCAGCGGTATCACGGCCGTTTCTTCCTCTGCGCCTGGGGTCTTCCTGCTGTTGCCCCTCTGCTTCAGCGACCTTCGCCCGCTTGCTGCGCACACGCGCGGGACCGCGCGCATCCCCCAGGCGAGCGCGCGGGCAGACGCACGGGGCACACCATGCGGTGATAGACCAGATTGCGGCCTCCGGGGCCCACCATCACGCCCCGGGCCATCAAAAATGGAGCCGGAGCGACCAAAACTGCCCAACTACCCACCAGGAAGACGGCAAGAAATTGTGGGGCCGAGCATGAAGGAAGACAGATTGGAGGATGTCTGAGGATACCTCCCCGTTCTGAGAGGCCTCGGGGGCTCTGGTCGCCCGAGACATCCGCGGAGAACGACCCGAGTCCCAAACCGTGCGGTCCCCACAGATCCCCACCGACTCACCGCACAGTTTGGAGGCCCCCGATCCTATGGGGACATGATGACGCGGTGGAGAGGCCAGTTCCCAGGTTGTCCCGCGCCAGCTGGTCGCTCCCAGGGGTTGGACTCAGGCGAGGGATGCGGATAGGGGGGTGGTTCACCGTCCATAAAACGTAGGGAGGAGAAGGAGGAAGAGGAGGGCGGTAAAGAGAGGACAGGGGGCGCGAGAGGGGGAGGGAGAGAGGGGGGAGAGACGAGGGGGGTGGTGATCGGGTGCGTAGGCGCCACACCCACCTGGGGCGCCCCCACTCTCAACAGTCGGCCTCGGAATAACCCGCCAGGGGAAGGGGAAGAAAGAGGAGCACGAGGATGAAGGGGGTGGAGGATGATGCGCCCCTGTTTGTTGCGATTGCTGCGCGGCTCCCGGCTCGCTCCAGGATCACCTGCCTGCTGCGAATTGCTGCTCAGGACTGAGACGAGACTCGCGATTTACGATAGGACGCAAAAAGTGATGACGAGGGAGATGGATGGCGGCCGCTGCGGGCTGGGATTGTTGGGGATCCCAAAATACCTTATGGTGACGGACCGCGTGGTGATCTCGAAATCCCAAAAGACCTCACCGCAAGGTGCGTCGACGCACGGTGTTGGGACCCTGGAGGCCCCAATTGCCCGAGACCTCCTCGAAGAACGACCCGAGGCCCGAAACCGTGCAGCTACCCCGAATCCCCACTGACTCACCACACGGTGTGGTCACCACACCGCCTGTGGGCCCCTGAGATTTGGCTTCGGGGGAAGCTGCTGGAGGGCAGCCCGAAGAAGAACTCAGCTCGGCGAGATCTCACTCGGCCTCCCCGCCCGCCCCCCTCAGAGGCAGATCGGGCGAGAAGGGGGGACTGGCCTCGCTAGCTGCCCCTTGGCGGTCGCTGAACGGTGCGGTGCCAGGCCGTGCGATGACCTCGGAACCCCCGAAGACCTCACCGCGCGGTCCGTCACCGCACACTCTGGGAACCCTGGAGGCCCCAATCTAAGACCTCGCCGCACGGTAGGTCACCGCACGCTTTGGGGGCCCTGGAGGCCCCAGTCACCCGAGACGTCCTCGGAGAACGACCCGAGTCCCAAAACCGTGCGGTGTCCCTGACTCCACTGGCTCACCACGCGGTATGGTCACCACACAGTTTGGGGGCCCCCCAGGAGTGGTGCGCGGGGCATGGGGAGACGGATCCAGGGCGTGTGGAAGACCCCCAAAACACGCGACACATGTCGACCGAGATGTCCCGGGCGGGCCGCGGCCGGATGCAAATTTGAGCGACCAAACAAAAGGGGGTCCAGCTGAAAGGGGGTGGTGCAATAGGCTTGGGGCAATTATATTGCGAATGTATTTCCCCAGAGAATCGTATCGTATTGAATTGTAGTGTATTGTTATGCACCTGATGCACTGCACGCAATGGCCCAGCAATACATCTGCGCACCACAATGATTTCCACACCCCCCAAATCTGAGCGCACCAGATCTATTGCACCACCCCCATCGTAGCTGGACCCCCCTTTGGGGTCAACCAGGGCAGAGGAGGTTCTAAGGAAGGATCTGCCCCGGGGGCCAACCAGCCAGTCCGCGCAAGGCACATCGCTCTGTCTCTCGCCCCCGCCAGGCCCATAGACACTCAAAAGCAGCCCCCAGACCCCTCGCGGGGATCCATCCTGACCCGTTGTTCGAGGCGCCTCTGGCCGTAGCGACGAGAAGCGAGCGCCACGGAGGACTGCCGCTGTCTCGACTGGTCCTCCTCCTCTGACCACCGTTCCGTACCACCCCCGATCGAACGGAGCACGGAAGGAGCACGGAGTTCCTCCTTCTCCTGCGCCTCCTCCTCCTCCTGCTGCTGCTCCTCCTTCTCC